CTCTCCATAGCTTGACAAGAAAAACGCGCCGCCCACGTTACGCTGCGTTCGCCAACCGGGATGCCTTGGACTGTTATCGCTCAATTGGTCAACCCTTGAAATATTGGAATCCAGTCTAGAAATGATGCTCGCCTCTCTCCTCCGCCCGAAGAAACGAAGAGTTTACGCGGAACGTTCCCCATTTTCATCCCCTTACACGACTCGAGAAGGTCCTTGGCTTTTTCGTCAGGATCAGGGTCAACATGCAAGTCCTGAGATGAGATACAACGAGACTCATGGCGCACTGCTTGATGACGAGGACTGTCAACATGCAGATGATCTTTGTGAGGATGCAGATCAGGAGGAAGAAGATCGTCCTGTTGAGTCGACTCCTCTTCTTCCCATATTCTCTGCTTCGCATCTAGGTATGGTCATCTCTTCCTGGGATTTTTCAGGTTTCATATAATACAAGGACTAAATATGGTTCCGCTTTTGAACAGATGCTCTTCCGGTCTATGATATTACTCATGCGATTCGACTGTTGATCGAGTCGCGATGCGAAACCACGCTGACATGGGACCAATTGCGTTCTCCCCAGATCTCACAGTTTCTGGTGAAGCCGATCCAGCAGAAGATTATATCATTACACTTCTCACGTGGAACATTATACGCTCTGATGGCAAACTGCTTGCAGTTCAATAAGGAGATTCACTTGAACCCTGGAAACAGTGGTGCGTCCCAGACAAGAGCCATGGTGAGCGAACTTCTTGCGATCAAGCTCCTGCGGGAATACTCGACCAGGGAGTTGATTGATGCGCTTTCTTACGAATTTTATCCCCTGCAAGGCCAGACGTCACCTGTGGCTCAAGGCTTCCAAGAAACATCGGGCAAGTATCCTGGAACCGGCAACAAACCACTGGCAGGCGTTGCCCGTATTTCCTGCCTCGAGGTTGCTATTCGCGCTCAGGCGAAACGGTTCTTAGCTCATCCTGTAGTGGTACAGCAGCTGGAAGCAATTTGGGCTGGCACAATAGTCTTCCATTCAGCTGCCGATAATCTTCATCGTACTCCAACGGCAGCACAACGGGATGGAGGCCCCGCATACGGCACTGCTCTCGCAGCATCCCACAGTTCAGCGCAGCTGGTCTCCAGGCCACGACGGTCAGTGACGCTTTACGATCCAAGAGACGCCTCTCTCTTCAAGCTCTCCCGACTTAGGGTGCCTCGATACCGGCAATTTTTATCCACACTGTCATTTGCTGTTCTCCTAGGCTTGTTTCTCGCAGTTCTGGTGCAACGGCGAGTGGATATCTCCTCTCTGGAGCTTATCTTCTGGTTTTGGAGCGCAGGGTTCATGCTTGACGAAATCGTTGGTTTCAACGAACAGGGCTTTAGTCTATATCTGATGAGCTTCTGGAACCTGTTTGACCTCGGGATTCTATTCCTCCTCTTTTGCTATTATTGCATGCGGCTATACGGTGCTCTGATGCCCAGCCCATACAATCACGCAATCGCCGATAGAGCATATGACATCCTCGCCGCCAATGCGGTTCTCCTCTTTCCCCGACTCTTTTCGGTCCTGGATCACTACCGATATTTTTCGCAATTGCTTATTGCGTTCCGCATAATGGCTTCGGATTTGGTTGCAGTATTTCTTCTGGTCGCCATTACGTGCAGTGGGTTTTTTGTCGCCTTCACTCTATCCTTTGGCAACATTGAAGAGCATACCCCTGCGTCTGTTGCTTATGCCCTCTTCCAGATGTTGATGGGATTCACTCCCGCTGCGTGGACGCTCTGGGATGATTACAACATCCTGGGCAAGATCATTCTGACACTCTTCCTATTCATCTGTCATTTTGTGGTGGTGACTATCCTTATTACCGTTCTGACCAATTCTTTCATGGCAATTGTTCAGAATGCCAATCAAGAGCATCAATTCTTGTTTGCTGTCAATACTATTTCGATGGTCAAGTCAGATGCGCTTTTCTCCTACGTGGCACCGACTAATATCATTGCGTGGTTGGTCACGCCGCTCCGTTATTTCATGCCTTTCAGACAGTTCATCCGACTCAATCGTACTATCATCAAAATCACACATTTTCCGGTCCTCTTCACCATTTGCCTTTACGAGAAGGCAATCCTCAGTCCCAGAGTAAGCGAGCCCATTGATCTCATTGATCCTTCGATCCATCCCGACGCCTTGTCTCGCAGCCGCCCCCGTCATGGCCGCTTCAAATCATTTAATCCTCAGGCTCCTCGGCTTGTACGAGAGCCATCAGTGGCAACATATCAGAAAGACCGCGCTCTTGAGGAAGTTTTCCGGAATCCTTTGGAGGAGACAAATCGGCGTCCGCCGAGGCTGATGCAACAGAGAAAGAGCAATAATATTGTTAGCAATTGGATGCAAGCTATGGGGTCTGGGCCTGTACATCCTCCCGATGAGCAGGACTCGGATGAAGTGGATCGATTGGAGAGACCACCCAGGAGGTCTGGATTTCCCTTTCGAGGAAGGACCACTGGAAGTCTCCGCGAATTCACCGATTCCAACCGTTCTGCCACGTCAGATCCTGAAGGGCACGTCGGTCATATTGTCTCCTCGCCTGCCACGCCGCGTCGTGAGCGAATCAATATGTCTCCGGCCAGGATACGGCAGCTTTCTCGGCACACGGACATCGAAGGCGACGATGAGTTAACCAGCGATGATACAGAAGTACGCCGTTCAAATTCTTCAAGTTCTCAGAGAAACAGCGGTGTGAGTCCAGGTAAAGCAACACCGAAATTCTACAGCTCCCGGCCCTCCACAGCGAGAGTCAAATCACGCAAAAACAGTCCTTCTCGGCGGCCCAAGTTCCACACCCGGAATTACTCCGCTGCGACAATGCTTTACAACCCCGTTCCCTCGGTCAGCAACGACGAAGGAACCGACGTTTCTCCTCTTCCCATCAGACCCAAAGCGGAGACGCCTTCGCCAGGAGATGATGCGGCCACCGCAACTTCTGTAGACCAATGGGTGCAAAGAAGACATAGTTTGGATATTGGAGTTTCTCAAAACGTGACTTTGCCCAGGTCAAATCCCATGTCTGTACCTGACTTGGGCGGCTTCTTACCAACCGAGTCGCAATACCGGGGTCGCCGTCATGCATCCCATCTATATGGGCTGGGCTCTGACCTGGGCGACAATAGGGCGATTGCAAATGGATTCTTGGCTGCTTTGCCTGCAAGCTTCACGACGCAAATGGTATATGCCGCGGGTGGCATCCCCCGACCTGACAGCTCTAGTAGCAATCAAGACATGCTGAGCAAGCTTGTCCTGGCTCGCATGAACAATATTGAAGAGGGATTCCGCGAGATGTTGAAAGAAGTTAAAGATCTCCGGCGGGGCGAGTCCAGTCGAAGCCAGAGTCGACCTGACGAACTGAGAAGCGCCCACAGAGACAAGAAGAAACGTATGGAGAGCAGGGATTCCAAGAAAAAGGCTCAAGGGTCCCGCAAAAGCAAGAATAGCAGCGAGGGGATGCAGTCCGATGGACCATCAACGGACTCATGACCACGAGACTATGACATGATGATACTACGCGCTCATGATTTCCTTTCTACCACAGGCTTGTAAGCGAGCAGTAATGACGTAAATCTCCTTTTTTGGCTTGTTGTGTCTATCACCGAGTGGCTGTCTCATATCATTTACATCAGTCTGCAATTGATACCCTATATAGTGAGCCAGAATCATGAAATGACCTGTCGTTCTTACTTCACCAGAGTTCCATAAGGCCTGATCCACCCAAACTATCAGTACCATGTTCCTGGAGGTCACTTGTGAGCCCCATAGAAGCAAGCATCCAGTATCGACCCTATTTCTTCCTTATAATTTCCTCAGGCACGAACCCCCTCCTGTTCCCCTCAGGGAACTTATCACCGTGACCACCTTGCACAGCCGCTCGCTCCTCGTCGGTAACCAGATATCTCCCATGCTTGGGCGCAAGCGCACGGAACATCAGCCACGCCCCAGTTATAACGCCGAACATGCTCGCCAAGGCGAAATTTCGAGATCTGTCAAAGCGAGACGGGATTCAAGTCAGATAGCCGTCTGGTATACAGTTAGATCTTGCATGAGGTGACCTACTGGACTGCTCCTTTGTGGCCATGCGTCAAGGGCCCTTTTTTTGCCATTTCTTGTTCCTTTGATGCCGAGGTGGACGGTTTGTGTGGTGGTATTTGGGTTGGTCTAGTCGTGAGGTTTCTTGATCGAATGATCTGAGGGCTGTAGTCCTCGATCAGGAACTATATGTCCAGAAACATCTGTTGTAGTCGTCTGTGGCTAATGACCTGCCAATGATACTATATCTTTGCAATAACTTGACGTCACGTTGAAACTTGAACCAGGAACCAGGGACGCTCGGATATGTACCATGGATAGACCATTGATTTATTTTGTATGTTTGTGTTTCTAGCTTACTACTGCCCGTATATTCTTTGGGGCGGAATGTTTTCCTGTGGTAGAGAAAGTGTCGGTAGGCGTGATCTCAATGCTTCACAATAATCTTCTTTAACATGGAAAAGCGACGTAGCAAGATTCTTATTTGATCCATGAACACCATTTAGTGATATGGCCAAACAGCACAGTACAGGTTTAAACTTCATTTGTGGCTGTCTGTGTCATATCTTTCTTCTCATCATAGCCCAAGTGTGCGCGATAAAAGCCAGACGGAAGCCTACAGGGAAGCAAATGAGTTTTCCCATCGGGTTGCAGCAGGGGTCACACGTAGGCAGCCTTATTACACATGACAGGAATGAGGCTGACTCGACATATGTTCTTAATAATATGTTTTTCTTCTTCCTTTTGAAATCTCCTAGTGATCTTCTTTGGAGATTCTGGGCATCTAATGATTTTTTAAGCATTGTTTCTCGTCCATGACTCAGAGGTTCCATCTTCTCCTCCCATCTACCCTTGGTATACAGCGACGATTTACAAACTGAGGTGGCTTGACGCTAGCACCGGAGGATAACGTCTCCACTGTATGGATATGGACTCCTCTACTACTGAACGAGCTGAGGAGGGCTTCTCTACTTTTAAGGAATGGCAGTGGCCACGATTTCCTTCGGGATCCACCTACATCCCCATCCGGCCAACACCCCCAAGGACCGAGATCAGAAACGCTCCAGAGCCCTGCCCGCCGCTGCTCCTTCTAGACAACGCAGACACTCTCGTATTCATCGATTCACCGCCACGCTCGTCGACCAACTCCATTTTACCTGCCTCAAGGGGATATGTCCCGCACCGTATACACAGCCGAAAGCTCTTGCAAACTAATTCTCCGTTCTTCAAGAAGCTCTTCAATCCGAGGACGCAAGCTCGGATTGTCAAGCGCCGTGGACTCACTGACGGGCTTACAAACGGGCTCAAGTATGCTATAGATCTGACTCCTCCGACAGAGGGAGAAGATGCGGTCATCACCATCACGGAGCTTTCTTGCCCACTTGGTATCAGGACATGGTCCCGCTGTCAGAAACGATGGTGCCTCCCTATCTCGTGCGTCGGGGGGCAGGAAGAAGTTGAGGCGTTGGATACAAATACACACAAAGGCTTCGGCGGACTGCTGTCCCAGGAAGGTTATGTGGGAACGCCCGAGGCAGAACGCGAGAAGCTTGTACTACCGCTGGAGTACTCTCCTTCTCGTCATTATGCAGGCATTGAGCAGATCTTGCAGGCTCTGGAGGACTTCCATCCTCAACTTGACACCCCTTGCAAGCTTTGGACGTTTTTCGCCCTGGCGAAGTTGTATGATATCGCCACGGCACCGAAGATATGCGACCTCATTCTTTCCTGGTTTTATGAGTCCACCAACGTCCGATTCCTTGAGATCCACCCGGAGATCAGCTATCGGATAGCTTGTGGAATTCAGTGCGCCTCCCTCTGTCGGGACACCTTCTCTATCCTTGTAGGGGAAGAGGCCCTACTTCTGCTGGCTAACGGGGACGAAGCGGCTCACTTGGGGAGGCCTCGGGTGACATGGCATGGACGCCTCCGTGAGTCGCTAGATGACACCGAGCTCCAGCGTATCGAGTACGCAAGTAAGAGCTTCCTGGATCATGTTACAAATCGTTTCGTTCACTTGATGGGGGCTAGCATGGCATGGCTCCATGATTTATCCGAGTTTCAGAAAGTTCACCATTGCCAACCAAAGTCCTCACAAGAAGAGAAAGCCAAGTCCCAGCTTCTCGCTGCTCTGAAAGATTTTGTGAGAAGCACCTTACTGTCTCCACTAACAGGCCGTGTTTTTGAGAGGGGGGACCGAAAAGCATCCCTCAGCTCACACGACCATGAGGGCTATCCACCTCCGAATTTCGCAAACGCTTACAAAGAGATGTCACCAACAGAGCGCATAATTAGTAGGACATTTTGGCACAGTCTATCCATAGAGAGTTTTAGTGGCCAGTGCCCATTTCGCTCCGCAAAGCCTTTCGTTATTGCCTTTCTTGCCAAGAGCATTCCACAGTTCGCAGAGCAAGAAGACTGGCGGAGCAGTGGTATATCACGGAAAGAGTTGATAGCCAGAGTCGTAGACTTTAATTCTTTCTACAGAAGGTTTGTGCGCAGAGTCTTCAATTGGGATGCGAGCCGGCCCCAAATGATGGCAAATGCCCCCAGATTCGAGTCTTCTGTATACAGCGCACCCCAACTTCAGAACCTCCCGGGTATTGATTTGGTCCTACCGCTTGAGGCGATTGAATTTGACTTGGAGAGCTTCTTTGCTCAGGCTCAGCGCTACGTAAATGACTACGCAAAGCAGATGATCACCCCCCGGTCTTCGACTATGTTCTACGAATTGACTGATACTCTGACATGTCTCACGGAGAATGAGTTCAAATATCTTCCGTTGTGGGCTGGTGGCAATGATGACGGATCCGGAGGCGTCTTTACTGATGATAACGTGCCATTACTTGAGACGGGAGGCTTCTCGACCCCGGGACCAGCAATCCATACAGGCAGTACGGCCTCCTCTGTGATGTCGCATTCCACCATCGCGCCCACAGAGTTTGAGAGTACAGTTCAGGGTGCCTCCCACAAGGCTACGGAAAGTCATGAGAGTGATATAATGTCGATTGATACCGATATTGGTCATCAGGACAGTGAAAGGAACAGCGACCATGTATCATTTTCATGGCAGAGTGCTGATGACGATACATCGATCGATCTGAGCTCGGCCGATGACGAGGAGTTCGACTTCGATTCTGCGAGTGACTCTACCGGCACCGTTGTTATGGGCTCTCCGAGTCATAGTGACCTTTTGAGTGACTTTGAGGAGGTGCATGTGGACGACAACAATGCCTCTAGTTCACGTCCCTGAATGCTGATAATCTGCTTTGGCGACTTGGAACCCATGATTTGGGATGGACGATTTGGGGTGAAAGAATGTTGCACCAATAACGCATTATGATTGATGAATAATGATATTGAGCCCTTCGATTGTTACAATCATACAGCATGTCCTCCGAACATATTAGAAACCTTCAGCTAGTATACCATGATATGAACTAATTCTCGGGTGTCTCTAGTGAGGAGACCGCTTGATCCTCGATGTATTCTGTCTCAGATCAAGAAAAGGGTCTCCCTTCGAGCTTAGCCAAATTCCATTGGGTTGTCTATAGGAACAAAGGTATTGTCGTCAGTTGTATAGGTGACAATGCTCTTTGAAACACCTTTGTCCACATGGCCTTTCTAGTCGTATCTTTGTTGACACTAGCATGCTGAGTAGTACCTGGTTTGTCTCAGCTAGTAAGTCTAAGAAGGAATGAGGTACCCTATGTGCAAACGAGGGTGAATGTTCAATATAAGACACTAACAAGGTGCTTGTTTGCTTTCTTTAAGTCTTGCTAGCTAGAGATTTACTGTCAAGTCAATGAAACCATGCCATTGTCCTTTATTTTTGACAATAGTTTTCGAAATGCGGCTTAGTGCTTTGTATGCACTTGCTTCTTCATAGGAGTTGCAGCGCAAAAGAAAGATAAGTGATGCACAGAAAAAAACACAAGTCGAGTTGATATCATTATGGGTTCAGAAGTCTGGGGCACCAGACTTGTGAATTCCTTTCTTCAGAAATCTTGCATTGCAAGACAACAGTCTTTGTGCACTGGTAAGACAGGTCAGCTTGATGAAAGCACCAACTTCGCCAAATTCAGTATAAAAGCTAGCTCACCTCCTCTGTCAATCCTTGCCATCCAAACCCCTCCAACTCACTTGCTGCTCTCAGCTCATCTCTATACGCTTCGCCTCGTCTCTGCCAACCTTTTCCCATTAAAGGGTCGAACAATTCCTGAACAACTGCACCATGCCCCCACAACACCATGCAACTCGCACTCCTACGAGGAACCCACCCAGCAATGACCTCAGGAGGCAGGCTCTGACCCGCAACTCTGGCGCATCTTCCAGGAAGACTTCCAACCTACCACGCAGGGATCCAAGGGTCCCAGCGAGCGAGGTCCATCCCGCCCTGAGAACTGTAAGTAATTTCCATCATCTGCTTAGCCTTTTCTTTGCTAACATACTTTAGTATCGCCAAGCCCCCAGCGTCAAGCCCACCATTGATGTCCTAGACGGTGAGAACAGACTTTGGGATCTTACTGAGATCTGGTACCAGATCCTCAAACTCCATTGTGCCCCGGAAGACGGCTTCATCATCAAAGCTATTCCCGAGGCAGCTAGTCCCGAGACACCAGAGACTTACGGACTGCATTCGATGATCGTCACCGGACCTGGTGCAGAAGGATTCGGCACCTTCTTCGCCATCACTTGCGCGACTGCAGTGTATCAGGACAAGACATCGGTCCGCTTGCGAGCTGCTAGTGAACTCAGAAGGCTGCTCGCTGAGATATATCACACGCGGGTAACGAATGGACAGTACTCTCAGCTCCGCGGAGCTGTCGCGGTTGGTCAATCCGTTCAGTTCTTCAACTGGGGCGAAGATGGAGTTCTAAGGGTGTTTCCCTGGGCGACACACCCGTTCGATATCAAAGGCGACCATTACGCTGTCCAAGGTTGTCTTGACATTGTCGTCCAGAATCATTGATTCATTTGTCTGACTCTTGTTTTTTAACAGTGCCGCACATTCTTACGCCGGGATCGCGACTACCAACTCAATCCCGTACCAACATGGGAGAAGAAGGGTCGCTCTAAACTCGATCATCGCTGTTCAGGTACGTCTTGACTCTCTATTTGGTTTGGTGGCTGATTCTTTCTTTACTGAATATGTAGCGGATGTTTGGGGGTATTATTTGCTTAAAATTAGTCGAATGTGCATTTGGTCTTCCCAATCAATACTCACCACGTGCTGCGTAAATGATCAGCTACTCTTCTTTCGTAGGCCTTTGTAGATGTCTCAGCACGTGACATAATCTGGGGTTCTTGGCGGCGACGTCACGGAATTCCACCGCCGTCTTGCAACGGAATCTCTCCTGAATTTCAGAGTTGAAGGAATAGGGAACCAGAAAAATATCAGTTCGGTATTGAAGCCTACATCTTATTCATCCCTGGAGCGACCGACTTGATTATCGTTCGTCCAGCAAAGGTCTCTCATCATTATGGCCTCCTCATCACAACCTTCGAGCTTCTTGCTCTAGTATGTTCTACCCATATTTCGTGACGTCCCCAACGCTCTAGACTAACAGATCTTCAACAGCTCTTGTATAGCACACCGCACAACTATTCTTGCAGAGCACTCGTCACCCGGGACATCCTCTACTGCAGCCTCTTCGCTAGCATCCATTATCCTCCCTAAGATCACGCATGACAAGGCCCAGAAGCTCACTTACACACATGAGCGTCTCTTCGTCCATTACATCGCAGATTCACCCACAGGCTCTTCAGATGATGCTGGTCGCCAAGAACCGAACTCCTATGCACCTCTCAGCTACATCGTGGTGGCGACCGCCGAACAAGGCCGTCGCATTCCATTTGCCTTTCTCCTCGAGATGAAACGCAAGTTCCTATCGACCTACCCCCCTTCAAGCACTGATTTCTCTTCTCTCCCCGCATACGGCTGTGCCGCTTTTAACTCGGAGCTTCGTTCTCTCCTCCAAACATACAACACCGCCCCGCCGTCGGACTCGCTTGCTTCAGCCCGACGGGAGATCGACAGCGTCCGTGACATTATGACAGAGAACATTGAGCGGGTACTTGAGCGTGGTGAACGGATTGATTTGTTGGTCGATAAGACCGATCGGCTCGGGGGCAGCGCGCACGACTTCCGAGTGCGTAGTCGCGGTCTGCGGCGGCGGATGTGGTGGAAGAATATCAAGCTGATGGTGCTTTTGGCTGTTGTGGTGGTCTTCCTCGTCTATATTTTCGTCGGTATGGGATGTGGCTTGCCGGCTTGGGGGAAGTGTGTTGGGCACAGTAAGTAGGGCTGTTGTCGTTCTTCAAGTCATGACTCCGCCATCACTGAACGATGGGAGTGATGTCCTCTTTCCTGTGCACATACCCTTTCCGACTGTAAAACATACGTCAGTAGCTCTGTGGATTGCCAGCTTACGATAGCATTTACGATTGTGACCGTTTTGTCCGTCTTGTCTGTGATATCGCTTGCCTTGTATTTACTCTATGTGATTCTACAGCTTTATGCTGCTATTTTAGCCTACGCACTTGAGGTAACAGCATGAATTCGATGAATGTACCAGCGCTATCATTTGCTTCGGAAATATACCTTGTTGTCTCGCATATTTTTATGATCGTTGATTCGTTGGTCATCCGGTTAGCGATCCTGATGGAAGCGAAATATATATTGCTGGTTCTGGGTACTACTCAATGCTAACAAAAAGGCCTGTTTCTCCAACATAAGTGAGAATTCGGTTTACTATAATAATATGGTACCAGTTATTGAATCACTGTCTGGTCAGAAATTCCACATTACTTTATTTAGCTTATGAACGCATGGTCATTTGGTATATCTCCTGCAGGCGCACGTGCTTTGTTCACAACGAGCGGTATCAAGATTCAATGAGTGTAGCGGCAATCTAATCAAATCGGAAAAATTTGATTTTCAATGAGATTGGTTCATTTTCTAAGGAACAATGTCTAGCTTCTACGGAAGTATGTCCCTCGCTATCAAACTCGCAGCTTCCTAGCTAACGCTCAGTGCGAGTCTGCAAGCGAGCGGAAATAACCTCTGGTTGATACCAGTTTGGTTGTTTTCCGCTGCTCAATCTGCGCCAGCCGTATACCTCTTCAACCATGGGAAGCCGCCCGGAAGGACGGGGTTGATGAGGAGATAATCTGGCGCTATCCCAAAATATGGGGGGAAGGGGGAGCGGGTAGCTACGAGGTGTTCCTGTAATTGAACGCATCTGTGGTCAAAACTCAATGTCACGGATTGCTGCAACGGGCATGCTGACTGATTCCGTGCGCTGCGCTGCCTCAGGGCTGGGATTTGAGTTTGGTGGTTGGCGTTGTGGGCGATTTGTTCTGGGGGAAACCTGAGACTCAGAATTAAACCGATGCCGCCAGATCAGATCAATGAGTGAAGAATTCAAAAAAAGAAGCGGATCTGAGATTTCGGTTGTATTCTCGAGAGGAGTTACCTAGAATGCACTGCAGGTGTCGGGTGAGAGGAAGGATCAGGAACGCAAACTGATGTCGCTCAGAGCCAAACCCAAAAGATGAGATGAAGAAGAAATTTTGCACTTTTTTTCTTTCCATTCATAGCGTGCACCTGTCTTGGAAGACGGAAGCCTGGTCATAGCAGGTTTATTTTCTCATTTTGAGTATCTCATGTACTCCCACGCCATCGCCCCTATTGCAACAAGAAACACAGAAAACAAGTCCCTTAAGCACGAGCCTTAGCAGCCTCACGGCCCTTTCCGATGCGCTCCAGAATCTGTTCGCGGTCCTTGTCCAGCTTAAGCTTGGTGATAACGACCTTCGAGGGGTGGATGGGGATAGGGACGCTCTGGCCGTTGGACTTCTCACGGGCGACACGCTCGACGTGAACGCACCACTTGAGACGGTAGACGGTGGTGATCTTTCCCTCGCGTCCCTTGTTGGAGCCGCGCACAACGGTGACCTCGTCGTCCTTGCGGATGGGGATGGCGCGAACCTATAGGGTATCTGTCAGAAACGAACATCCTTCACAGTTCTTTGCAGTGATCCCTGGCTATCCTCCTGTGAAAGTCCCTCCGAGCAAAGAGTGTAGAATCTGACAACGGGAGGTGATCGGTTTAGGAGAGGTGGCATAACGGGAGGCGTACGTTGTACTTCTCACGGAGTTCCTTGCTCAGAGGAGCGCTCATGATAACACGGCGCTCGCTGGAGGGAGCGCTGAAGTGCGCCTTGCGCGACTTCCGGCGGGAAGAGGCGATTCCTATCATTGAGAAGTCGAGAGTCAGTATCCTCCCAATACAATTCCTGAGTGTAATCGGTTTGAGAATGTGTCTTCCGAGAAAGTAGAATATCAAAAGGCATATTCGAGGAACAGGAAGTTGCCATGAGGGTTTATTGAACAAATTAAGTCGAACATACCGTTGTTCATGACGGTCATCTTGATAGGCCTCTTTTTCTGATATGACCGGGCGTGGTGAACGTTGTCGTCGTTAGTCGTCGTCGAAACAGGACTCTTTTTGCTGTATTCTCAAAGTGTTAGCCGAAAATGTGTGGGAGCCCGAATGTGCGTCACATGACATCCCGCTTAGGCTAGGGTTGGCGGCTTTCCGCTGATTGGCTGACGTTGGCCCTCTCTCCAGAAGGGGAAAGCTCCCTGCCTGACCTATTATCGCGGCCTTCGGGCGCGAGCGGATCGGCCTGAGTCTCACTATGGAGCGTGTCGCATTACATAGTACTGAATCTCGCATCAGCACCGAGTGAGACGAAGGTAGACATACGCGCTTGCTAAATAGTCCTTCTTAGTGACATGTTTGACCTCACTCCGATCTCTCCGTCCTTGATCTTGCACCATGCTTAGCGTTTTGAACCGGCCCCTCAATTGCTCCGCAGCAACATTGTCCGCCAAAGATGGCGAACGATTACTTCGAATGGCTTCAGAATTACCGAGAGACAGGTTCTTCACAGTTTCCTCAACAGAATCAATATGTCGCATTCCCGTCGCCTTTTCAAGGCTACCCGGATTCGCTTTTGGATTTCACCCCTACATCTCATCTACCATTGAGCGACATTCGCCAACCGTACTACTATCAAACACAATATGCTCCTCTTGAGCAATATGTGAGGCCGCAGAACACAGCATATTCCTCATCAAGTACCTATCATTTTACCTCTCATCAAGAAGGACAGCAATACCAGGCAAACCCACCTGCGACGACAAAACAACCACCTCCTGCCCCTCCTCCTCCTTCGACCTTCTCACAACTCCTGCCTGCGAACTCCGCTCAGACACAACCGCAAAATACTTCGTCGTATCTGAACTACCCACCATTTGTACGAGCGACCGAGGTCGTTGGTGCTGACGTTAGGGGGCATGATGCGAAGAGGCGTCGTCTTGAATCAGCCGCGACTGTGACCATGTCGATGCCGTCAATGCCGCCTCAAGAAAGTCTCTCGAAATATTCTTTTACTCCGCAAGACACCACGGACAGGAGCTACCTGAAAACGCGTACGGATATAGCAAAACCTCTGAACGCGACTGACGCGGCGGAAAAGCTACAATATGATCCGAAAACAATCGCGCGGGATGTTTTGATTGCGTCTGGGCGCCATCCTACGGAAGCTCCTCTGAATCATCATCTATTCCGCCTTCGAGATGTCTTTGTTGGACTCGACACTGCTTCAGATTTGGAGACCTTTCGCTGGGATCTTGTAGACCCAGAGAAGCAGGCCAATAACACAACCACAGCACGTGACATACACCCGCTCTCCGCACCAGCGCCTTTGACTTCCGCCATGGCGCGTCCTCCATTTGCTGGTGTTGCTGCAACTCCGCCGTACCATCATCAACAACCTCAACAACTAAGACAAGTACAGCCACCGCCACCGCTTACGTTACAGGCATCACAGACAAGCCCTCAGCAAAAATCCCCATCTCAGCCAAATTCCCTGCGTCAAGTACAGCCTCCCTCTGATCCCCAGTCTAGGTCGCACCCTCCGCCCCAAGTACAACTGCAAGTACAGCCCCCATCGCAGCCGCAATCAAAGCCCGGACCCTCGATTCAAATACGTACAAAGTCACAGCCGTCTCCTAAGGCGAAGTCGTCTCCGCGTCCATCAATCAGTATGGTCGGGAAAAGACCTCCTGGGCGACCGCCCGCGAGCTCTAAGATTGAGGTTACAATACCTGTCACTTCCCAAATACCGTATCAGGTCTACACGTGTGGCTGGGAGAATTGCCAAGCGGAGCTGCACAATCTTGAAATGCTCAAGAAGCACATCTTCAAAGTTCACGTGCCTTACACGCTCACGTGTCAATGGAAAAACTGTACATTTCGACAGAACCTACCGGCGGTGCAATTGTACAAGCATGTCCTTTCAGAACATGTGGTGTCTATCGCATGGAAGCTGGGCGACGGACCATCAGTGCCTGCAACTGGTGAGAAAGCTTCGAGATGATTGAAATTATGTTTTTTTTTTTTTTTTTTTTTTTTTTGCTCAATGGATTCAGTGGTTAACAATTTTCGTCTTTACCTGCCATCTAGAGGGCCGTGTTGCCGGCGAAAGTCCCGTGCCTAAAACCATCCCGAAGTCTATTCAGCCAGAGGGCGAAGACTCTCTAATATTCCCTGCAAGCTACAGTTCGATTCGCGCATTCAACCGTGTCCATGGCAACCACACACAAATTGAGAAAGCCCGGGAGATCTTCAAGGCTGTACAGAGGCTGAAGGAACATATTGGGTATGGATTAGACCCCGGTGGATGCCAGTTGGCTACGCCCGCAAGGATTGGGAGAGTGAGCAACGATGAGGATGTCTATGCAGTGAGGCATGAGTCCTAGTGCATTTCAGGTCTAATGATACCCCTTCGATCTTGTGTTTTATTCAGCTGTCGTTTGTATCGTGATTACAACAATTGGCGTCAGAGACTTCTTTCGCATCGAGCGGGCATTTCGGCGTTTTGATTCTCACTGAGATTGGAGCATCTTTCCAAGTTTACTGGACATAGCATTTATCCAAAGCCAATGAAACAATTCAAGAGGACGTTCATTGCGACTGCAATGCTTGCATGGGTATTCTACAGACAATTTGCTCGACTCTCTGAGTCGCCTCCATACAGATCAAACCTCCTTATGCTGAAACACGATCTCCAAGTATACAATAGCTACCGGTCCTTCCCACCTCCAATTGCTGATGTGCCCCCCGCGGCAGCCGGTGCCGGCGTTACACCGGCCGTAGTAGAACCTTCGACCGACTTCTTGACATCAGGGACTTCTCCTTCAATGGCATTGTCCTTCGCATTGACTTCGAGGAAATGGTAGAGTACTATCATCATCATAGCGCACGATCCAAGGAAGATGGCGAGGCGGTAGAGGTCGTCGTCGGAAATCATGTTGAAAGTATGGAGTATCTTTGGACGCGAAGTATCTGAAATGACGATAGCGTTGGAATAGACAGTCCAGGGAGTTGAGGCAAATAGCAGTGCGACCTGTCGCCAAATGAAGTTGTCTGGGAGCTGTCCTAGGGCAATTAGTATTATTGGGATAGATTGCAAGGAACACGTTGTCTCCAAACGCTTACCGAGTGAATTGACTCTGTTCAGCAATCAGTACTCCAGCGCCGCTAAATAAACAATGAATTTTGGATTCTGTTGAAGCGAAGGTTGACTGAAGATGAGTAGCAGACAATGGTGGTATCGCAAGTTGACAGCTGGAATTACGGCAGTAGATTAATTGGATGGTCGTACGTAGGCAGTTCTGAGGTAAGCTCCTCTCCCCGGCCGAGCCATCACTTTTTAAGTCTTGAGATGACCCATCGACCTATCAGCCTGGCTTCCATCTAGACTAACTGTCTTCATCGACTTTAAAATCACCGGCTTGCAAGCGTTTATCTATCACTTTTCTTCAACCGATCCCTCTTCCTTCTAGACTATATAGTTGTGGATGGTGGTCCCGCTCTTCTCCGACCTGCCTGTGTATCTTCCCCAACTCTATCAAATGCTTCGCACAGCTCAGTTGAGCTAATTGAATCTTGGTTACCATCTCATTTCATTCCTCATTCTGTTAATTCCATCTTTCCCCCAAGCTCAAACTACGTGTCTGGCGGTTTTGATATATATTGGTCAATTGATAAGCTGCGTGGCGGTTCATCATGAATGGACCATTTATTCCAACCAAGAACCCTTCTCATCCCAAGGGCTCTGGTCCTTCTCTCCTGGCTTGTCTTCTCTGTCGCCATAAGCATCTTAAATGTGACGGGATGACCCCTGTTTGTGGCCGCTGCGCGGCCACAGGGGCAGAGTGCCAGTACACTCCTTCTCGTCGTGGTTACAAAGGTCCCTCCAAGAAGCGGCGCGCCAACCCGTCGTCTCCCGAACGGACACCTTCTTCTGATCAATCGTCTTCGTTCGACTTTCAGTCGGTCGCACTACTGGATACTTCCCAGGATTGGAACGTTCCCGATGGACTCTCTTACATTTTCCCAAACGGCTTCCCCTCTTCAGACTCGAATAGTTCCATTCTCAACAATGACAAGGCACTAGTGTCGGACTCTGTACCGGTCAGCAACGGTTGCCCTCTCACTCCCGATTCGGTGAACTCTGTCGCTGGTGATGGTTATCTCATTGATATTTACTATACGTACTTTCACCCTTCGCATCCGATTCTTCCTCCGCTTCGTATACTCTATCGCTCTCATGTGCCGCCGTTCCTCGAGCATGTTATCAAGTTCATCGGTTCCCATTTTACCCCGGCCGCAAATAGCGAGGTATATAGACCCTCCGTGATGTCGTCAGCGATGGAGCAAGAAAGCTCCGTGGAGAAGCTGCAGGCACTTCTGCTCCTGGCTGTTGTGCTGCATTCGCGAAACGAGCGGGCAGAAGCCGGGCAATGCCTCGCTACAGCCGTCGACCTGGCCTTCGAACTCGGACTTCATCGTGAGAATTTCGCCATCTCCATGGGCGGAGGTGATCCGGTACGGGAAGAAAGTCTGCGACGTACTTGGTGGGAACTATTCATAGTAGAAGGCATGTTGACTGCCCTGGGTGTTCAGCGTACCTTCCGCACCAGCCTAGTACCACTCGAGGTCGGCCTTCCATGCGAGGAACGCATCTTTCAGGATGGATTGGCCGCTCCACCGCCTCCTACCATTGCTCAATTTGACGACCACATTTTTGCCGACGAGGAGCGAGATTTTTCCTCTTACACATATCGGATCGAAGCTGTTCGTATCCTCGGGCGGGTTGTTGCTATCCAGGACATGCTTGAGGGTCAAGAAGACCATGTGGAGGCGATCGACGCCCGTATCAACAGCTTTTTCCACCATCTTCCCGAATCGAAAGCCGAATTAATGCGTCCAGATGGGTCAGTGGACGAGATGATGTTCCAGGCAAAAATGATCGCGAATGGAGCCAGTGTCTATCTCAATTTTCCACGATCTGACCTACTATCGTCACCTGCGGTTGCTGCTGAAGTCATCTGCGGACATCATGGTCCCTGCAGTATCCCGGCCTTCACACACAATGATCATGCCATGAAAGCTCTCAAGGCAGCCAAGGACATCTCGCAGTTAGCCTCCATCCGATTACCAGTCGTCAAACATACACCCTTCTTCATCTGCGCGCTTGTTCTTAGCTCCATTGTGCAGTTAGCATCCTGCTCCGTTAAAGCCGGGAGGATGCCCGAACCCAGCCGGGAACGACTGAGTCTCACCATCGGTGTCTTCAAGACTCTGGCCCGTACGTGGGCTATCTCTCAGGCGATAATGCGACAGGTCAAGGCTGTGGCGCGCGACGTGTTGGATGTTGGACTGCGGCCCGCCGCGGAGCCCCTGCAAATGGATTTGACGACTGTCCTTGACGGTGGCCGGTTCTGGTTGCCAGAGGCACTCCCCAGCTGAATAGCTGCGCCGCCATTGCCTTTCGACCTGATTGATGCCCGATATGATTCTACGCAGTCATCCTTGAGTTAAACTCTGCCTTGATACCCACCACCATCATTGAAGTCATACCCGAGAAAGCACATGATTTGCGCCGAGAGCTAATGGTCCGCTTGATGATCAGCCGGACCGTGGACATTGGGTGCGGCCGAGGGAACGCGTTACCATCCCATGTATTCTCAGCCAAGATCTGTCGTTACTTCTGACAATGTAGGCCAGAATCTCATCGAAATGACTACCCCTCATGAATTTATGGAGATAGCAAAAATGAAGTCTGCAGGTCAACGCCTAGCATTGCATGTTCGCTTCTTGAGCGTATTATGTGAGCGATAGACTTGTATTTGATATGTATGCTTATATCCTTTTATCCTTCAAACCGTTCACAGTTACGGATCAAAACATATTCCACTAAAGCAATCTGTTAGAAGAAGGGAATAAAAAATTCAAAGCAACTTGGGTATCTCAATTGATGAAGATGATAAAGCTAATGTCTTTTGCTGGCTTGCCCGTTGCCTCTCTGCCAATAGACGCATGATTTGTGCCCGGGTTCAAGAAAAGGAATGTATGAGAAACGAGACCAACCCAATTAACTCGCCGTAACTCCTCAATCTAGATGATCGTGTATACTCATCAAGTCTATCTTCTTCAGAACATAAATAAGGGGAAGGAAGAAAGGAAAAGAAACGCATAGCGGGTTCTAAGGAACGTAATGGTATCATAGTACAAGCAGTGACACTGTATGAAAGAAAAGAAAAGAAAATAAGGTAAGAGAGAGTGATAGTTGTTCAGGCGGGATTGGGTTCAGCGTCCGCTGACTGGAACTGTCCGCCGAGTTCCCTCATTTCTCGGAGGGCCTCCGCCCGTCGAGCCACAACGTCTTCGCGGCGGACGACGTTCCGGAGGGCCTCGCTAGCCTGGATGAGCCCGTCGATGCTGATGGCGTGGTTGGTCATTTGGTGGTTGATGTATGTGTATAGCTCCGCCGGGGTGGAGCAGGTGGTCAAGAGCTGCTGCTCGTTGAGTTTCAGGAGGGCGAGAGCCACCTGAAAGAGGAACGTGCTGCCGCCGCCGCTTCCGGATGCGATGTCCTGGGCAGAAGGATTGCTCGCATCGTTGGTCTCCCGGGTCGAAGAGTTGGAACCACTTCCGGTTCCAGGATTCACGACGCTGGTGACGTTCAGACAGAGCACCACATCCCAGACGCGGTACAGTGCTTCGGCGGACAGGCAGTCAGTGAAGACGGAGAGGAACCATTGGAATGTCAGAGCTTCGAGCTCGACACCCAACGAGTCAAGGTGTGCGGCTAGTTTGGGTAGCACCTCGGAGATGTACTGCCGCAGGACTACCTGATCGGCTCGTGAAGCAAGTAATCCGTGATCGTAATAATGCTGAGGGAGGATATTTTCAATCATCGACGCGAGAATCCAGAAAGCGTCCTCTGCGGTCGGGGTGATGAGAAGCAGCGAAGCAGCAATCAGGTTCATCCCTTGGCAGTATCCCACCTCCGGGTTGCGGCGTGAATAAGCCAGTAGCACCTCTCTCAATTTAGAGACGCCGGGACCTTTGCGGAAGAACACATTGTCCGTCAGCGTCCGGTTGATATCCATATCAATTTGCGCCACAACCGACGGGTCCGGTTCGCTGCCACCGATGCCCGCCACCAGATCATCATAGTAACCAGGCACACGCATGGAGGATGCGCCGCTGCATTCGGACCAAATCTTCGCCCGCAGAGCAACTGGAATCCCGCCAAGGACGAGCGATCGGAACTCCCGCCACTTTGCACGACCAACCTTGCCTTTGTTCCCCAGATTAGCTATTCCTACTACTTCGCCGACAGCCAGAGATGCTTCCGGTGTATCGACAGACTGCGCAGCTCGCGTAGAAGTCGCAGCAGCAGCAGCTTCTCCCTCCTTTCTGCGTTCTGCGCGCACTTTGCGCATGAACTCGTTCCATTTGACGGTCCGGTCTCGCTGGAGGGTATCGTGGAGGTCAGTCAATTGCTCAAGAAGCAATTTGACTGGTTCATTCTCGCTTGTAGTCGCATTCGGCGCGGCTGCAGACGTGGGCTCATCGGTGGATGTTCCCGCAAATTCTGGACGATCAGCGACGACCGTGGATGTAGATGCAGATGGCGGAGCATTTGGGTTGACGGAAAGCGAGCCATGTCGGTCAACAGCTACTGCAGTACTACGCGGCGGAGGTTCGCTTGCGGTGGTAAGTGACACAATAGGGCCTGCTGATGGGGTGTGAGACAGTAACTCCGTTGGCCGAGTTGGAAACTTTAGATAATCTTGCCATTTCCGTATAGCCACAGCTCCAGCTTCAGGATCCTCGGGCGAAATAGAGCAGGGTGAGCGCTGGGGCTCCGCAGCTCCTTGCGACGTGTTCTGAACGTCAACATCGTCATCTCCATCTGATGTCTCGGTGCGGAAGCTGCTGAGTGTTTCTGCGATG